CACACACACACACACACACACACACACACACACACACACACACACACATACACAGAGGACTTCTGACCTTGACTTATCTTACCCCAGCCTCAGTGCCTTAAAACATATGGTCCTTCCAGATCTGGCCAACACAAAGAGACTTTCTGGTACATGCATGATAGGCCTTGAGTCCATGCTCTTTGACACCCTAGTCTTACAAACCTTATGCCTGGACTGCCATCTACAGACAAATAGTATGATCTTTTTGAGTTTGCTTTGGTTCCACCACTAACAATGGAAGTCAGGGCCTCACACAAGATAGTCAGCTGCTACAGCCACTTCCCCAGCTCTGAGACAGGATGATCTTAAAGGAGTACCTTCCTGGATACAAGACTATTTCTTTCTTTTCCAAAAAAGAAGAAGAATGCATGTTTTGTTTTGTTTTTTTTTTTTTGCCTCATAGACTCTGGCAAAATGAGAGTTGGAGAAGAGGCAAGGTGCCATCCATCAATAGGTCATTGGAGAAAGTAGTTCTTAACACTCCAAAGGAGCATAGGGCATAGATAGGTGTGCTTTTATAGGACAAAGAAGATGGAAGGTCCCTAGAGAGACAGGCTTGTTTGTTGCTACAGAAACAGGTCTAGGTAGATGGTGGCATGGGGATAAGGTGTGCATATTCCTCCTTAGGAATATGAGAATGCAGAAAAGACTGGTGGGGTGGTTGGGAAGGCAAAGCACCACTGTAATCAAAGATGAGGGTACAGAGAAGGAAAGGAGATCCTAAAGAGCAGAGGCCTCGAACCTCTGTTCCCTTCTCTACTTCTTGAGACTCATCTGCTTTCGAAGCCAACTTTTCAAGGCTTCTATAGTTCATTTAACATTTAACACCACAGACACCATTTCCTGGGAGGTTGCACATATGTATATGTCATAGGACTTTGAGTTTGATGTGTTTACTCTTATTCTCTAATTCTCAAGTCAGGCTTGGTGTGGAGCAGGTGCTTCTGCGGTGTGTGGTAATAGAAATGCGCTTTGGGTCTCAGGTTTACCATCACTTCATCACGTCCCTGACAACTTTGGTCTTACAATTGCTGTAGGCTTTGTTGGGTCCTGCTTCTTGTTGCCTTCCCAAAATGGGGTACCATCATTCTACTGCATCAATCTCAACTCTTCATGCCCTTAAAAATTTAGGTCCAAATCTCACTTTCTCCCTGAAGCCTTCTTGAGATGTGTCTGTCAGCTGTTAAGTACTTTTCAGGTTGTGTGTGGGTGTAGTAACATCTGGTTGGGACTCTTCTATAATGTAAAGAGCTTGAGGAAGATTTATTACTGCCCCTCTCCAACCCACTCCATCCCCACCTCTACCAGTGTACACTAAGTTGACTTCAGAGCTTATATAGGCCTTAACACATGCAAGTTCTATTCCATGCACTAAGGATTCAGGAATAAGCTTGTCTAGTGAAGAAGCCAGACCTTCAGAGATACCAGACAGAACAGACATCACAGGAGGTGTGCGTGAAATGTAACTAGGAGCCCAGCTGAGGAGATAGCTCTGTCTTAAGCAGGAAAAGAGACAAGGAAACAGGATGTGACATTCGGATCAAGTTTTGATAAGTTAGTAGGAATTCAGCATCTATACAATGAAAGGGAGAACATTCCAGGAAAAAGGAAAAGGATGAACACGATATAGAAGCATGAAAACAAACATGTTCAGGCTGAAGCAAATGGAAGGAAGCTGTTGAAAGCAGGTACTCTCAAGTTCAAAGGTATTGCAGGAAGCAGGATATCAAATTTAAGAGATTGGTTAAGTAGCAAGAAGAGGAGTTGGAATGTTACTCTGAAGGTAACAGGAAGCCATGAAGGTTTGTGAGAGAGGATGTGTCTGATATGTAGTTGTATATACCTACTTATACTGTTAGGTGTTGTTATATTTTGTGTGTTATCAACTGGAGTCTCAATGGGCTATTGCTATCTATGCTCCTCTAGGACTCAGCACAGGCCTAGCACAGGATGTGTTCTTTGTACACATATGTCATCACTATGCAGCGGCCAGTGCTCCTGTCCTGTAGCAGAGGCTGAGTCCACCTGGTCAAGGCCAACTTACCTTTGTGTTCATGTTCTGCTCATCCATTTTCTCTAACTAAATTTATTCCCTTTGGTTTTAGCTCTATGCCCATGACACTGTGGTTAAAAATAAATATAGGGTCTCAGCTTTACTGATTAATGCTGAGCCTGAGCTCCCATGCCCACATTGCTGCCTCTGCCCAGGACTCCTTCCCAAGGGGCAGCCCAGCACCCTGGAATGCCAACAGGCTTCCACCAGCATATGGGTAGAAAGTGACATATGGCAATTATCCATGGAGATGGGAGAAAACAAAGATTAATTTTGAGTCAAAACATGTAATTTTCCTTTACAACCAGAACTGCTCTTTCACTTAAGCTATTTAATGCTTGGATGGAAAATAATACAAAAGGGAGAAACATTCAAATCCCAAAGTAGAGCTAGGAGCCGGTAACCCTGGGAATTCAATCTTAAAGCAGTTACTTACCAATCTGGAGTTGAGTGGGGCTCATAGGGGCTCACCCAGGCTTAGAAGCAGGGGTATAGGGTAAATAGGAAGCAAATTTGCTTTTCTTAATTCACGAGTGGGTGTATGTGCCTCAAGTGTTCAAAGAGGCACTTTGAAGGAGTCTTGTTGAAGAAGACCTCAAAGCTCAGTGTGTGTGTGTGTGTGTGTGTGTGTGTGTGTGTGTGTGTGTGGTAGGTGTCAGGCAGGTGCATATGCTGTGAGCATTTGAAAACAGAGACTCTTGGGAGGAAAATGCCCTTCACCACTCTGACTCAGTTTCAAGCCCCCTCCCAATTTGAAAGAACCTCTCTTGAGTGAGGCTGAGTATCCCGTAGAGGGGTCAGGTTCTGGGCTCTAACCCTGGCTTTGACAACCTTTCTGCTCTCTGGGTCTCAATGTCCAAATGTTCTTGCCAATGCCCCCTACCTCACTCCCCCCCCCAAAAAAAAAAAAACCAAACAAACTGGTAGCACTATTTTATTGATCTGTGGCCATTGGACATAGAAGGAAAAAAGCAGTGAAGGATGGAGATAATTTTTATGCAGGCCAACAGAGGACCCAAAAGAGATAATCCCTAAATTAACTTGTAAATGAGATTCTAAGAATTCTTTTGAGTTTTACAAAGCTTTAAATGTTTAAGAACTTTGGCTAATCAAGAGTGATTTCTAAGAATGAACTGAGCACTCTCCTCTGGAGGTGAGTGCCTCAAAGGCAGGGTCATACCTTAATCACCAGCTCACCCCATCCCTCTCTCCCACCAGAGCCCGGTATAGCATGCTGTGTTCCACAGGCAGGTGGGTGAAGGAGTGATGGGTGTATCCATGCAAGGGCATCATGATATTGCAAAGGGACAGAGAAGAAACAGAGATAATCATCCTGTCGGGGTTTTTAATACCCCAGAATGGCAGACATAAAGTCCCTAGATGATCTGTTCTGAATACGAGATTAGGTGTCATTGGAGCACACGGCCATGAAGACTGTGTGGATCAGGCTTTAGAGAGGTACAACTAACTGAATTGTGGAGCCTTTGCCAGTCCAAGCAGGTAAATCAAGAAACTTGTCACAGGCTATCATAAACTGTCAGAAGCTGAAAACATTTGGGGGCATCTTCTGTGTGCTGGGAAGTGCTCCAAGTTTGTCTTTAATTTTCAGAACCATATTAAGTTGTTGCTATTACTTCTGTTTAATAGGCAGGTGTAGAGAGGGTTTAAGAGGTCAGAACATTTGCCGATAATGCCATCACACTCATGAGAGCCTGAGACTGTCCACCCTCCCTGTGCTATCAACACTGTGACCTCAGGCAATCTTCTGTTTCTTCTCCTTTTCTTAAAGTGAAAGATGAGACGCACATGTAAGACCATGTACACAAAGTGCTTCATACAATAAGTAATAATGATTTATATTTTTTATTATTAATAATAGGTGATGGAAAAAGATTTATTGTGCTACGCTCCCGAGGCATCCAAATACATGGAGGACATCAGTGGAAAGAATGGTCTGGCATGAGAAGAGAGTTGGACATTGCCATGTCATTCCAAGAGCTTGGACCACTAGGGGAACAGGAGATGAGGCCCAGAGGTAGGGTAGTGCTAGCACAGTCCAGATGCCACTGGCCGCCACTGCCAAGATGCTCATTGAGCACTCTACCAGTACACATGGGAACTCCCAGCACTTCCAGCTGCTGCTCAGCCCTCAGACAAGATGGCTGCTCCCATCCTAGTCTTCTCTCCTCCTTGAATCTACAAGTGGGTCCATCAGAGGAGCTTCTTAGGGGTGTATCCTCTGAAGCCCAAACCTTCAAGTGTTGAGGGAAGGGGGCTATCACAGACTGTTGGGATACTTGTGCACCTAGCACTAGTGTTTGAATATACACCTCACAATAACAGGAAATATGTGTACAACATTGCCTGATTTGCAGATTAGGGAACTGAAGAATTGGAGTTCATTTGGAAACCCTAGAGGATGAGTTATCACATGGGAGGGGGATATGTAAACAGCCAGGCTAACTTAGATCAGCAGCTGATCTTGGCTCCCAATCAATACCCCATCCCTGGAGATTCCAATGGTGGGCCTAAATGAGATGGCCTACTGTTGAGACAGGGTATCACCTGACTATACTGTTACATAGGCTCAGATTGACTGGAGCTCAGAGATACAGCTTATTGCATCATTCAGCCTGACCAACCTGCCGAGTCAAGGGACTTACTTGCCCTGGACCATAATAATCTGGTTGGCAATCTGGGATGACATTCCCAAAGCTAGAAGAAATGAAGCTTCCTGGATGTCTTGTGCTTAGGAAACACATCTTCAGGACCCATACTGATTTTCATGGCAGGGCTGGGGTTGCCCTTCCTGTGGCACAGGTGGGAAGTTGAGGGCTAGAAAGCTAGACCCAGTGAAGCAGGGCCCGAGCCTGGTTGCTTGGCTCTACCACTTACCGAAGTCTTGGCATGGGGACTGTCATCCTCTCAACCAGGGGGTTCAGGCGGTAATAATCTAGAAATGTTTTTGCCACGTTCCGCCCCAGCTTCATATCTGCAAGTGTGTGTTAAGAAACAACTTTGGAAAGAGAATGAAGAAGAGTGAAAAAGGCCTAATTATAAAATAATGTAAAAATAAAAATAAAGCAACAACAGTGATAAAGATCGCATCATCACTTCCCTCTAGAGTTTTGTTATGAATTGTCTTGTTGGCCCTCACAAACCTGCAGTGATAATTTGATCCTTGTTTCACAGACAAAGAAACTAATTGAGGTGTAAGCAACCATACCCCAAAGTATGTGCACCTAGTTTTTTTTTTGTTTTTGTTTTTGTTTTTTTTTTTTTTTAAGTATCACTGGCATTTTCCCATCTGGCCACATGTAGTCCATAATGAAGCCTGATGAACAAGACTCAAAGTCAAGGGACCCTTTGCTGTATTTAGACCAGGGCTTGCCCGACCTTCAGGCTCCTATCTTGAGAGCAATCTCAGGAAAACTCTCCGACTCTAGACTCCCATTTCACCTTGCTATTTGACACATAATGAATCCCTGGGGTGTAGATTTATAGCCTATTTATCGAATAATCCATTCCCCAGGGAAGGAGAAAACACCAGTTCTATACTGGTATTAACACCCTGGCATCAGTTAATACAACAGCTGTGTATCTGCCTGTGGGTCACACCCACACCTCTGGGTTTCTGTGTTGTTTCCTTCTCCTAAAGGGCCTCCCTGGCCCTCCCTCAACTAACATACAGCCTTGGGTTCTCCAATTAGCCACTGGCTCTTCATAAGATTTTCCAGGATCTTCCCTGCTGTCATCCCAGGGCTGAGAGTGTTGTCCTTGCTCCCTACCTCCGTGGCTTTAGAACTGACCTCATTCAGAGCGTGTATCATTTCTCACAGGGTGAAAATTGTTTACTCACAGTGGTTCCTCCAGCAGGCCCCATCAGGTCCAAACATCCAAGCTGTCACCCTTCCCCAGGAAACTTCTCATCTCTTGATTATGTCCACCTCTTTCCCCCAGAGCAGGTCAGCATCACCTTTCCCCAATACAACTGTCACCCTCTTCTCTGGGCTTCCTGTCCCAGAATAGCCCCCTCTAGGATATATTCAGTAGTAAAGTCAGAGGAGGCATTCTATATTGCAGCCCCAATGGTGTCACTCAGTAGCTAAAACCCTTTAGTGTCTTTAGTGTCCTTCCATTGTACAAAATTCTGACACAATTTACAAGGTTGTTCATAGCTTGGCCCTTGGTTATGGTCTCAGCTCTCCTCTTGCTGCCTCCCACCCTTTCGCAGTTCCTACTTTTCGAATCCTGTAGTTCCTAGATCTTTTTTCACTCCACATCCTGCTAGACCACCGTGCCTTGTGTACTGAATAGGACCAGCTCCTCAGTCTTCAGACCTTGGTTCAGTTATCATTTCAATGGGTATATCCTCCTTGGTGCCTTCTCTGGAATAGATTTCCCATGTATCTTTTCATAGTTCTCTGCCAATCAGATTATTCAGCAATATTACATTTCAACTAGCCTTCTTTTCCAATAGTCCTTATAGCCTACACAGTCTATGAGGCAGAGGCCATGTCTGCTTGACTTAGTCATCTAAATACCTATGTGCTTGCCTGGCAACAGCATGAGCCCGCGCGCGCACGCGCACACACACACACACACACACACACACACACACACACACACACACAAATGAATAATGACAGCCAATAGCTAAGAATGTGCTAGGCAACCTCATAACAACCCAATGGGAGAAGGATACTACTGTTCCCAACAGTGTAAGTGACTTCTCAAGGCTAGATAGCTTATAGATGCTTCAACATTTGGGATGTAAACTTAGGCCTTCCCTCTCTGGACCTACACCATTTCATATCTGCATCCATTTTTCGTTTACCTAATAAAACATGTGGAGCCCAGTTCTACTTGCAGGGTGATATGCAGAGAAGCAACAGCCTTAGGCTGGCCCATGGGAGTTTCCATAAAAGGACTGCTCCTTTCTGGACTGCAAAGACAGGACAGCAGAAAAGGCCTTTTAGAAGGCCTCTAAGCAAGAGTGCAGAAATGGTTTCCCATTCACACATGCATCTGAACAAGCATTTTCTTCATCTTTCTTGGGCTCTGATAGTGAAGGGACTTATTCAATGCCATATAGAGGACAAAGGTAGAATCAGGAATCAAATCCAGGCAAGTCTGATTAGACTGAGTCTCCACTGCCTTGAGCTGTTTCTCAACTTGAAGGCACCTTTTCTGTCAAAGCCTGAGTCATCCCAGGTCAGAATGGGGTGCGAGGAGGAGAAACACCAGGCCCGTTATTTATGACAGTGAGATGCACTGCAGGCTTGCTGTGCTCTGAAGCTGCCACCTGCTTTCTCTCTCTGGCTGTGTCTGACCTTTTTCTGTCCCCTTCTCTGAAAAGTCCACAAGCTGGCACCGTGCATGGCCTCTCTGACTAGCAGCCCCCAGAGGCTGTCTCCTGGCCAGGGCCTGCAGAGACAAACTGGTTGCTTGAACCCAGACAGCCTCCAGTTGGCTTGAAGAGACCAAATCATGGATATGTGTGTTGAAAGGAATAGCTCTGGGCCAAGGGAGAAATAAGAAGTCCCTGTGGACTGAGCTGGTAAGTTGAAGCAGACGTTTTTGGAAGCAGATGTGTTTCACCCAAATCCTGGTTCTGCCTCTTGCTACGGATGGCATATTTTAATTTCCAAATATGTCTGCAACATTATCTCTGGTCTCATATGCTATTCTAATATGATCTTCATACTCCTTACATGGAAAGGCATGGTTTTATGTTCTTTCTCCTTGAATTTTCTCAGACTTTCAACTGGCTTCTAATCAAAAGAATAACACATTGTGAGACTTGCATGGAAAGGCCAAATAAGGCAAAGTAATGGTATTTTGCATTATGGAATAGTCGAGCTAGAGTCCCAAGACTATAGACAAACAAACTAGCCACCACAAGGTCCTAGGACTATGCAAAGAAACTGAGAGTACACTCTTGGTAAGCCTTCTGTAGCATTCTGTCATTCCAGCTCCAGGCACTGTTTACCTACACATGAATCAGACTCTGCAAAAGACCCTCCCAACTGAGACTCAACCAGATATCTGACCCACAGAGGCCATGAAGGGGTGGCGCTGTTTAAATCACACACATTCCGGGGGAAATGTATGAAACGTCGATAAAGAACTAAACTCTGAGACCTTGCACAAGCCACTCCATCTCCCTGAGCCTCTATGTCCTTGTCTGTGAAATACCTGCTTCGCAAGGTTGCTGGGCTGCAGTGCTTGGATGCATGTAGTTGGTGAGTCGCTCAGGGTTGACTGAATGACAGCTGAATGGATGGATGGATGGATGGATGAATACCTGGGTCGACGAATGCATGAATGAATACTGTCTATAATGAGCCAGACCTGAGGCACAATAGTGGTTGCCTTGCTCACCAACAACCTTGAATGTCTATGAAGGAGTTGGGCTGTTCCACAAAACGGGTGCTAACTACTCTGGATGAGCTCTGTCAAAAAGGCAGTTTTAAAGGTGGGTCTTGGTCTTATTGTTCCCTTCTCCCCTCTCGCTACAAAGCCTTATTCACTCCGGATTATTTCCTACACTGGTCCTGATTGAGTGGAGGAGCAGAACAAAGGTGAAGGAGAGTAGAGATTGATTGAATATTTTCAATTAAAACAAGCTGTCCTAGAAGAAAGATTTAAGATCCAGGTAAAGAGAAGCCATAGTTTTCTTGGCTGGACCATTTTCAATATATGGCAGTATTAAGGGAGGAAAAACTGGAGTGAAAGCTTCCAGCCATTCATTATCCACAAAAATCTCAGGATAGTCTATATGTTGAAAATCTTTTCATCTTCAAGTTCAATTCATTGGTCTATTTCTCACAGATGGCAGGAAATGGTTGGCCATCAGGGCAGGGGGGCTGGGAGCCTAAAGTATAAAGATGGAGTATGGATTCAGTCAGCTGGTGTGCTTGGATATTTGGACTATTCAGTGACTTCTACCCAGAACTATCTTGACATTAGAGTAGTGCTAGCCTGCTATGTCATGGGGCTCTTTAACAGGTGATGGGAGGTTAGAAAATCACATATTCTGTGATTTTCATCCATCCATCAATCCATGCATGGATTCATACATCTGTAGGGGTCTTCCCATGGGTACACTGCTGCGAAGAACATCAGGGATTGAGGTTAGAACAAGAGGAATTAGAGAAATCCACCTTCAAGTCTAGAGGAGTAAAGCAACCCCAGCTAACTGGATCACCAAGCAGGTAGTTACATTGTCTCCTTGACAAAAGCAGTTACTGTTTTCTAGAGTGTATTCTGTGCAATGCAGTTACTGTCATCAACACTCACCACAATCCAGCAAGACCAGAGCATGAGTCTATACGTATTCCACAGGTAAGAAAATAATAACCAGGGTTTGTGTTATTAACCAGAGTCTCATTCTTTGAAAGTGATGGAGGTAGCATCAAACCCCAGGATCTTCTCAGCATGTGTCTATTCTCTGGGGTGTGATCATAAATACAAACACATATCCTCTCCCCATCTAGAGGGAAACTGAATTCCAAATGGAGAAACTGCGAAAGGCTTTGGGGAGGTGGATGGCGGATGTGTAATTAAGGTTTGAAGGACAAAGGGGAGAAGGGAACAGAGAATGCATCCCAGGGGCAGACCACTTGCTTGTCATGTAGCAAGGCCCAGTGTTCAATCTTCCGTATTGCCAACAAAAGGGGGAGTGGTGGAGGCACGGGTGTGGCCATGACATGATGTGAAAGACAACAGAGAAGGCTGAAATCTCACCCAACTGAAGCGTAGAGTGGAAGGCAAGGCTGTGATGCAGCCGAGCCAGACTCACCAAGGCTTTAACTGAAAAAAAAAAAAAAAATTAGGAACTTAAACTTCTATTCTGAGAACTGGAGAGATGGCTAAGTGTTAAGAGCACTGGCTGCTCTGCCAGAGGATCCCAGTTAGAATCCTAGTGCCCACATGATGGCTTACAACCATCTGCAATTCCAGTTCCAGGGGATAGGATGCCCTCTTCTA